AAAGGAGTTGTCTAACTTCATCATGTTTGTTCGACAGAATAAACTGGTTGAATCGATTGCACATGTAAATCAAAAATGATGTGTGTGCGATAGCTTATCATTTCTGTTGCAGATCTTTCCATTTACTCGATTAGTCAAAGCATTTCTTGCACGCTCGCCATGAGTTACGGTGGTGGCTACGGAAATCGTGGTGGTTACGACTATCAAAGAAGAGACCGTATTAATGAAGAAGAGGTCCCTGAATCCAAGCATACCATTTTCATTCGTGGTTTGCCTGGTGATATGTCGACCGATGAGATCAAGTGAGTTCCTGTTTGTTGAGCAAATTTTCTGGGTCGCATCTGTTGGGAATATTGGTTTGCGATAAGATAGGGAAATAGGCCGTTGTTCTCCTCTCATTAAGTTTGACAGCACTCTGTATCATTATTGGTTGTTGTTATCAATAAGGAAATAACAAATGATCTTTCCAGCTATAAAAAACTCTTGATTCATGATAGTCGATATTTAATGAACGCCAATTAACTGGAGGAGATTTTCGCCGTTGGACGTTACTGTCTTCCCTATCTGTTACTCTATACCATTGTTTGCCCTTTGGATAGAGTTTTGCAATCGTTGCCTAGGAAAGATGCCCTGAGCATCATCATGTTAAATAAATTGGTTCACATTTCTCAATGTTTTCTTCTTTCAAAGGTGAGTGGTGATGACATGCGGGAAATGAAACATCAAAACATTCAATCGTTTTCTACCAAATGTACTAAATTCTTTGACTAATACGCTCCCTTCAGAGAATATTTCGAGGACAGAATCGGCCCAGTCTCTTTCGATTTTGTAAAAACAAGTGCTGATCAACAGCGCTTGTTTGTAGCTGTTCGTTTTGAGACCAGAGATGATGCAAAAGAAGCGATGAGCAAGTGAGTTTTTTTATCCAGCCACTGTGTTAGAGACACCGTCTATCCAAATCGCTAATCAAATCAAAGGCAGCGTCCAGGCAAATCTGGACCTACGGGGCTCTC